GTTTGAATTAGTGTTTTGCGAAATAACCTTTGCCTTATTTTTACCAACTTTTTCCTAAATTACCCTTTGATTAATTCCAAAAACTACAAATAAATGGTTTTTATAATTTTATAAAATTAAGAAAATACAAAAGAGTAATACACAAGACATATAGATTCATGTACAATTTTTTTTTTTTAACCTATGACTGAAAATTATTTATTTTTGCTTCTACCATGGTCGAATCTACTAGTAGATTAGGTGTTCTACGAATTTGAATAAATCTACGAGTGGTAGAATGAAGTATTCTACTAATTGCTCAATTTCTACATATCGCAGATTGCACAATCTACCATTTGCTTCAGTACTACCAGTCGCAGAATGCTATTTCTACCAATGTCTTTGTCATCTACGCCAGACAGAATGCATATTCTACCCCTTCTATCTACCTCTTTCTCTATCTTCTACCAAATGGTAGAAAGTCTAAACTACCAAAAGTAGTTTAAATCCCCTAAATCTAGGACAATTAAATATTTACTTTCCATAAAATGATTTTTTCGGATATTTGCTTCCAATTACGTTTTTTCTTTATTTATTTTTATAAATTTTTTTTAATTATTTTTTTGTGAAATGTTTTTTTTCGGATATTTACTTCTAATTGGAAAAAACACATTCTTATATATTAGTAAATATTTAAAATAAATTGTAAAAACGAAAATCATTTTTATAAATATTTATTTTTTAAGAAAAATTTTATTTAAATATTTATTTAAATATCCGAAATCATTGTAAACATATTTATTTAAATATCCGAAATATTTATTTAAATATTTAAATATCCTACGTTAACATATTTATTTTAAGAAAAAATTTATTGTAAATATTTTAAATAAATTGTAAAAACGAAAATCATTTTTATATATTAGTAAAAGATTAATTTTTCTTAATTTAGAAGGATAAAATTGGGATTTAGAAATATGAAAGGTTATTGGGACAAACAATCATAGGTAGAAGGTTAATTTACAAAACGCTAATTCAAACTGAGTCAATTTAGCAAATTTCCCTTTAAACATCCCTAGTTGTAATGTATAAAACCTTGCATTTTGAACTCTAACCCAATTTTCATTCTAAAATATAATTTAGAATAAAATCCTCTTCAATCCCTTTTTTTTGTCACAATAATTTCCATAGATTAGTTATTCTTCATGAGAGGAGAAAATGTTTACAAACCATGAAAATAAGGCTGTCAAAACTAATAAGTACAATGCTACAAAGGTAAAGCATAAAACATAGAAAAAAAGATAGATGCGAACCAAACGCTTGAACAACTAAAACCGTGGAAGAACTCAATGTTATTGTTGCTAAGTAAGACGACGCGCTGGGAATTAAGGAGCACACTCAGTGATCTAATTCTCGTGATTGAGACTGCAACTAAGGCAGCATAACCAATCGAGATGTAGGCTTCAAGAGCAGATGTTGACTGCCTTGTTGAGCCGTTAAACAAGGTGGTAAGCGAAGGTACCTTCGACACAAAAGTCCCTACAATCAGACCACTCACCATAAATGGAACCATCATGAGAATAACATACTCTGTAACAGAGCAGTCAAGACAATAAAAGCCCAAACGAACAAGGTTCTCAAAGGTTAGAGAACATAACCTGCATATATCAGTAATGGATCGCAGAAAGATGCGAGATATATCAACCAAGGAGACTAGATACACACTAGTAAGGACCTCAATAATAAGTATTATCAGATCACATCTAGAACCAAAATCAACTGAAATCATCGGGACTAATACGAGATATTCGGTTCCAATAAGACTAGTTCCACACGCTCAACGAATACCCAAACAAAATCTAAAGCCGAGAGTAATACAAAGCATAAGTGGATAGGCTTATCTGGTCAAGGAGAATTTCAGAAACACTAACTTCAATGGAATTGGCTTGAAACTCGATGGTTGGAGGCTCGACGAAAGGCATTGAAGAGTCAATCAGACCAGAATCAAGGGAGTAGATCTGTGAGCAAATCTGACGCCACGGCCTGCACACAATAGTAGGGAATCGCAAATCAGCGAAGGGAGGGTCTCTCGAGGACCGAAGAGAACGAACGGCAAAGTCAGATGGCTTTGCAATCAGTGAAGCAGAGGTTGAAACCGGTGACAGAGGTGGAGGGTCTTGAAGATCAGGCGGCTCCAGTGGGTAAGTATGGTTTGGTTTCACTGGAAGTGTCGTCGCCTTAAATTAGGGGAGGGGGTTGAGCGTGTCTCTTTGGGATGTCGTTGCAAAGAGAAAGAGATGGCTCTGAAAACCAAGACTCGACATTCTTTCAAGCAAATGAAGAAGATGACAAGGCGGAGGTGGAGCAACGGAATAGGCCTCGCCGGGCGAGAGAGGAAACTCGCTAGGTTTGAGTCGAGAAGAAGAAGAGACGCGTTCAGGCAGGGCTTCGGGCGCAGGAGGAAGAACGTCGGAGGTCGGGGTTCATTGTGGAACCGTCGGTGGCTACTTCGGGGCTCAGGTCTGGAAGAAAAACAACTAGGACAAACAACGAAACATTCAGCCTTATCCTCCCATCTTTTTCTTTTTTTTTCTTAAATATAGTAAAAGTTTACTTCGAAATTTAGAATACTTCGATTTGTTATTTCATAATTTTGCTTTTCACTCTAAAAGAGAGTGTGGTTTGAAATTAAACTCAGTTCTATTTTCGAATATGAAGAGTAATGGATTGAAAATGCTCTAACATTTCAACTATTGCAAGCCAACAAAAAATTAAACGATCTAATCCACAATCGATTTATTCATAAATACACAGTTCAGTTATAAATTAATTGATAATTAAAAGAAGAAGTTATACTAATTACGAAAAATATTTAAAATATTGAAGAAGAAAAAAATTTCTCTTTGTCGACGAGAAAAAGA